CTCTCTCTCTCTCTCTCTCTCTCTCTCTCTCTCTCTCTCTCTCTCTCATATATATGTGGGGGCACATATAGAAGGATAAAGACAAGGAGCTGGTGGGTGAGGGAAAGAAAGAGACAACGACAATCTCCCTTCTGCACAATGAACGAATGGCAGTGGAGAGAGAGAGGAATCCTCATCCTGCATGCTTCAATGACGAAGAAAACAAAGTCCTAGTATGTGGTTGAAATGTTCGTAGTTACTTTAATGGTGCATTTCTTGTTACAACAGGCTGTTGGGGCAGGACATAACAGTGCATTATTAACTGTAAACCAAAAGGACAAGTCCGAGTATGCACAAAATAAATCTGTTTAATAAACTAGTAAAGATAGGGAAATAAATTTAAGGGATCAATCTTCAATAAGACTTTACCCTAAAACTATTAAATAGTTGTATTTATAGTTGTAGTTATATGGGCAAACAATTGAAAATTTACTTGGGCGCCCCTTAATATACCTGGGCAGCCTACCCGAGTAAAGTGTGTGTGTGTGTGTGAGAGAGACTTACTCATGTGACTGAACTTGAACTGCTGAGATGGGAAAATGTTAGAATTAAATTGTGCTCTGGGTCAAGTATATTTCTTGAAAACAAAACTTCAGCTTCACAGCTGAAACTGTTTTGTAGCTTTGTGCTGAATCACCTGACTGAACACAAACTGAGCAAACATATTTACAGTATTAAGGACTGACAGCAACATTCTAACTTAAAACATAAAACACAGATACTGAACCATCAGCTGCTAATAAAAAGGTCTGCTATTAATACATAGTAAAATGTGCGATCTGTGAGGCTATCTTGTCCTCTCAAGTATAGTGAGGAGAATTGTGAACGATTGTGCTCAACTTGAGCTGCTGATGTAAAACGAATAATTGTGTCAAAATGAAATTGGGTGGCAGCTTCCGCACTCATTATAAACCTTATGCAATTCATCAGCTTCTCTTACTGTGAGGAGGAGGAGGGAGCAGTAGAAGAGACTGGAAGAGAGAGAGAAAAAAAGATGGAGGAGCAAGGGGTGGCTAGTGAGACAGGAAGAGAGGAAAAACTTCTCAATGATGAAACAATCTGTGCTGTTAAGTGATTGGACCAGACTTCCACCAATGGGAGGACCAGCTCCATGGCAACAGGCTCTGTCACCAAGAGAAAAGCAGCCATATCCCTCAACATCCCCATATGTTTCTCTCCCTTTCTCCCCCTCCTTTCCCCAATTACAAGGCCTGGTGTATTTATCACTGGATAAACACGAATAAAACAGCACACATAGAAAACACACACAGCATCCTCATGGGACGCTTATAGCATGAACAGACACAACAAACACACACACACACGGCTTGCAGATGGACACACAGGCACACAGACTTAATGGGGCTCACACAGTGATCACAATGCGAGTCATTCGCGCACACAGTTATTTAAAATGTACAGATTGGCAATGACTCCCCCCTCACTCACACACACACACACACACACACACACACACACACACACACACACAC